GTGTCATGGCATCATAGCTCACAATAACCTCAAACTCTTGGGCTTAAGCGATTCTCTTGCCTCAGCCTCCCAAGTAGCTGGGACTACAGGCGCCTACCACAACACTCAGCTATTTTTAGAGATGAGGTCTCTCTTGGTTAGGCTGGTCTTGAACCTGTGAGCTCAGGCAATCCACCTGCCTTGGCCTCCCAGAATGCTGGGATTACAAGCATGAGCCATCACACCCAGCCTGATTTATTTTTTATTTTTATTTTTTAATTTTTTTGAGACAGAGTCTCACTCTGTTGTCCAGTCTAGAGTGCCCTAGCATCAACCTATCTCACAGCAATCTCAGACTCCCGGGTCCAAGTGATCTACCTGCCTCAGCTTCCTGAATAACTAGGACTACAGGTTCATGCCACAACTCCTCATTTTTTTTCTACTTTGAGTAGCGATGGAGTCTCACTCTTGCACAAGCCATCTTCCTGCCTTAGCCTCCCAGGGTACTAGGATTACAAGCATGAGTCAGTGTCTGGACTTAATTTTTTAATTTTTTTTTTTTGAGACAAAGCCTTGCTCTGTGGCCCTGGGTAAAGTGTGGTGTCATAGCTCACAGCAACTTCAAACTTACTTGAGCAATCCTCTTGCCTCAGCCTCCCAAGTAGCTGGGATTACATGCACCTACCATAATGCCTTGGCAATTTTTCTATTTTTAGTAGATAAGAGTCTCACTCTGTTCTCAAACTCCTGAGCTCAAGCAATCTAAGTGCCTTGGACTCCCAGAGTGCTAGTATTACAGGCATGAGCCACTGTACCCAGCCCCAAAATATGCATTTCACTTGGATTACTTTAAGTTACCTGCCTGGCCTCTATAGTTTTTTTGTTTTGTTTTATTTTGTTTTGTTTTTTGAGACAGAGTCTCACTCAGTCACCCTGGGGTTGAGTGTCACAGCATGATAGCTCAAGCTATGTTTTCTTTCTTTTTTTTTTTTTTTAAAGAGACTTACTTTGTCACCCAGGTAGTACACTGAACCAATCATCACTTACAAGCTTTGTTACTTTGTTACTTTGTTACAGAGTCTCACTCTGTTGACCTGGGTAGAGGGCTGTGTGTCATAGCTCACAGCAACCTTGAACTCCTGGGCTTGAGCACTTCTTCCACCTCAGGCTCCCAAAAAGCTGAGATTACAGGTATAAGCCACCACACCCAGCCTGTGTTTACTTTTATTTTTTAAATTTATTTTTGTGTTTTGCAGAGACAGGGTCTCTCGATCTTGCCTTGATGGTGTTAAACTTCTGGCTCAAATGATCCTCCTGTCTCAGCCCCACTAAAGTGCTAAGATTACAGGTGTTAGCCACTATGCCCAGCCCTTTGTTTTTAATTAACAAGCCATAATTTATAATTTCTAGTTAGTGTTATTCCTTTCCACATGTACAATCCATGTCCCCCAAAATGAAATCATTTCTCAAATCATTTTTTAAACTCTTCTTTGGACTGGGGCAGAAAAGTAATGTAGAAAGAACACTGGAAAGTAAAAATGCTAGACTGCAGTCAGATCAGTATAAGTTGTGTAACTTTAGTGAGTCACTGAACTTCAGCTTTTGCATTTAAAAAAATGGGATCAATAATACCTACCTTACTGGCTGCTGGAAGGATTACATGAGAAAATGTATAGGAAAGCATTCTTAAACTACAATATGCCACATATGTGTAAAACATTTTTTTACTGGTCTCCCTAATGTCTTTAGAATTCCTATCACATTCTTATTTTTTTTTTAAGAGTCTCACTCTATTACCCTCAGTCATAGCTCAAAGCAAGCTCCAACTCCTGGGCTTAGGCAATTCTCTTGCCTCAGCCTCCCAAATAGCTGAGACTACAGATGCCTGCCAGAACGCCCAGCTATTTTTGTTGTTGTTGTTGCAGTTTGGCCAGGGCCGGGTTCAAATCTGCCACCCTCGGTATATGGGGCCAATGCCCTACCCACTGAGCCACAGGTGCTGCCCCATATCACATTCTTTTTAAACCCTTAGTGGTGATAAAAATATTCATCTCCAGAAAATGAATTCGATTTCAGGAAAAAAAAAAAGTTATTCAAAGCCAAGTCTGTTATCAAAATTGAGTAAT